CAGGAATGAAAATGCGAGTGGTGCATATAGGTACGAGACAAAGAAATCTATGTATGTGAGAAAGGTGTGTGTGTGTAAGATTAAAGTTCAGGAGCTGAGGTGTGTTGAACGACAAGCCACTTTTAAATAATACATCATGCTTACATGCTCTTTCAAACAATTTAATTGTCATTACTCGCCCTCATTCTGTTTCAAACGTTTATGACTTTCTTCAGTGGGACTCAAAAGAGGAAATATTGCGGAAATATATCTTTTTTTAAATGGGGACTGGAATTATCCAGTTCCAAAAAGCACCATACAAATTTCAAGTATTTCATATGTAATGCAATATATTCAGTCTTTTGAAGCCATGCTTGGGTCAATAATTTGTGGAAGATATTGAAAAGGAAAAATCTTTCCTTAAGTTCTGAAAAACTTTTATACTGTTTTGAACAAAAGTTTCTTGCGTGTTACATTATTTTTGCACTATTTTTAAAATGTTTGAAATATTTCTCAAGATGTTGTTTTTTATGTCATAAAATGAATATCAATGAAATATTAATTCATAAATAGTAACTTTGGTCACTATTTTAAGGTCCAATTCTTGCCATTAACAAAACATTAACTATGAATTTTGCCTCGGTAAACTCCTAATTTGCTGCTTATTAATAGCTAGTAAGGTAGTTGTTAAATTTAGGTATTGAGTAGGTTGAGGGATGTAGAATATGGTCATGCAGCATGTGTCTAATAAGTACTAATAAACAGCCAATATGTTAATAATATGATTGCTAATAAGCAACTAGTTAATAGTGAGAATTCGTCCCTATACTAAGTGTTAACGTAACTTTTTGGGTTTGAAGTGAATGCTATTTGAAAACTATGGTGAAGGAGAAGATTATTTGACTCTTAGATATAGACTTACAACTATTTTATGGTGCATTTTTGGAGATCAACAGCCTCAGTCTCCATTTTGAAAACAGACCCTCTGAAAGACAATCATAAGGTTTAGAACAATGACAGAATTGAAATTGAGAAGTGTAATACTAGTTCAGTTTGTCACTGTTCCTTCATGTATCAAAACATGATTATTTTGCTTATAATACCTGACTTAGTCTTGTTCTGTCCTGTTAGCCCTTGCAGAATGAAACCATTCTTGCGTTCATTGCACGCAGCCAAACCGTAATTGTTTTAAGAGCCAGTAACAGGCAAATATCGGCATGTCAGCCAGGCGCAGAAATCCTAATTTCTCCTCACACGGTTCAGTAACCAGCCTGCCGTGTCTTCGCAGAACACACTTGATTTGCCCAATACAGTGACAGACTTTTTTATCTCGACAATCGACATAGAGCTTTTTGTTGTGTGCTGATTTCTCTATTCAGCAGCATTACAGCTGTCTAGTGGACATAATGAGATTAATTCCTTCCTTGATTCTGAGTGTTTTATCACTGACATATGGAGCTTTCATGCTACAGCTTCAATTAGTACCTTAACCCTATCACATGGGTTAAATATACGGATTTTAGCATGCTCGTATTCAAAACAAAAGCACAGATTACTGTATTTGTGTGTAACGCGCTTGCTGACATTCATGATCGACTAGCAAAACCCAGAATGCTTGCACTCTTACCTACACTTACACAAAAAACACACTCTTAACGCAAGACTGCATGGCCTCCCTCTGCCTTTCTTGCTCGGGGGAAAGGAATTGCCGTGAATATTTATAGGCGGACTGAAAATGGGTTGTCCTCTCTTTCACCGTCAGGGGTTTCTGTCTGTATTATATTCCATCGGCACAGTTCTTTAGCCATCCTGAAAGCTCCTCCATCAGAAGAGATGTCTCGGCGCATTAAATGCAGCGTCTCACTCTCAAAAGTGGGTGGTCGATACGGTTTTATTTCATACCGAATATCAGACCACGTGGGCGCAGATGATGAGTTATTTGCTGCGCAGATAAACGTTTGCTGGAATCAGAGCGTGAGGATTTAAAAATGGTTGAGATTTAAGCTTTTTAAGTCAATATGCTTTTATTCGCTGTAAGATTTGGTCCTTAGGGTTAACAGTCCGATCTCTCCCAACTCTCCCACGAGCTATGCCTCATCCTGGCTGTGTTGTTAGTTGTCTATCTCTAGTTTATTTCTGCTCTTGCTTATGGTTTTCCCTCAAGCATCAAAGCATTGTAGCTTGGATTGAGCCAAATCTAAAAAAGTCAGTAGCTGTAGAGCAATATCGGCACCTAATTCTTAATGGGATTTTTCATTAAAAAAAATAAAATAAATCATCATTTACTTTCATGAAACATAAAAGATATTTAGATTTATGTACTGGTCGCTTTTTTCCATGCAATTACAATGAATGTGAAACGTTATAAAGCACCATAAAAAACAGTCCAAGTGACTTGTGTGCTTTGTTTTAGGTCTTTTGACGCCATGCAATAGCTTTCTGAAATGAGTCTATATTCCCTAGTAATTTTTCTCTTGTCCAGGCTGTTAATTGCTGAGACTTGATCATTGACTCTTAAGAACTGAATCAGTCCAAATCATGAGCTAATAAGACTGGGTTTGTTAACTGGATCTACTTATTCATTGAAAAGATGAAGTGGTTTTAGTGTTCCTTCCCAAAACACACACACACAAAAGACATTTATTTTCCATTTCAGGTAGAGTGGCTCTGAACTAAATCAGTCTGAATCATGAGCGAATCAGACTGGGTTTGGTAATTGAATCTACTGATTCATTGAAAAGATGGAGTGATTTGTTCAGCGTTCCTCCCCCGCAACACAAAATCGACTTTTATTTTCTATTTTAGGTAGAGTTTTTCTGAATGTGGCATTGTGTGTTAATTCATACTGTTGTGGCCTCAGCTGCGAAATAGGAGCCTGGAATATTGAGCATACTGAGTGTTTTTTTGGCATTTCTCTGGAGAAAATAACAACCCTTTTCCCTTGCTTATGAAAAATGTAAATGAGGTTCTATTTCTAGTATATCAACGTGTGGCAGTGAGAGCATTTTGTATGTGGAGTCACATGCCTGGAACACCAAGAGATCGAAACAATGAGACGTGTCATCTCCCAATCCTGACACATTAGCATGGCTGTGTGGGAAAAGGAAGGATATTAGGTTTTAAGAGAATGGTAAAATTGGAAAGAGAGGTGAGGGGGTGGAAGACGGGAAGCTTCGAACCTCATTTTGGAAGGAAGTCATATGAGACTCTGAGGAAGTGATTAAATGTTGTGCCTGTTTGGGACAGAAGGCTATTTTTCATTTATGTGATATTGACTTTTCTCTCTGTCTTCCTCTTTTCCCCTATTCTGTCTGACTCTATAGGAGAAGAACAAGGACAAAGACAAGCGTTTCCGTCCACTCTATGACATTCCTTACATGTTTGAGGCACGGGAATTCTTGAGAAAGAAGCTCATTGGCAAGAAGGTGAGAGACTTTGTGACATTCTCACACAAACAAACTTAGTCTTTCTGTATAAAAGTTTTCTTTCCATATGTTTTTCTGTCCATTTCATATGGATGCAGAGTTGTTTTCTTTCTCTGAGTTTCTGTATTCTGTTTGGAGTCACTGAACACTTTGACCACACAGACCATGAGCTGAGCGACTTCATTCACAGAGGCACAAATGACATTTTTTTTCTTTTAACTTTAGTTCTTTATTTTACGAGGAAAACAAAAAATGTCACAACACAAAGCTTCAACATGAGAAATGTTGAGATGTTTTTAACACAAATATGTGCATATAGTAGAAGTCATACAGTATAATTTCAATACTTATTCCCAACAATATATTAGTTATTTATTACATCTTTATCATGTCCCAAAGTTTATGAAGAAAAATAAGTAGTTTCCAGTTTACATTTTGATGAAAGTTCATGAAGAGAAATATTTTATATTATATTTGGATTAACAGTAAATATTCAATTAGTTAATCTTACAATACACAATGTATATATAATTTGAATATACATTTTAAATTAATGTTATGAATGAACATGAATAAACAATAAACGTTAGTATATTTATGGTTTAACATTTAACCCTGAACAATTAAAAAGTTGTTAGTTAATGAAGTCACTGGATTATGCACAGATGAATCACTCACAACAAGAGCATGAATGTGTATTTTGAAAATACTTGGGGTGATTTCAGGAGTAAATGTAAAACATGAAGTGTTTCCGTCTGTCTCACTCATATCAAACAGAAATACTTGGCATCAGAAGTTGTTGCCGTTTTAATTGGGACAGCAGGGTATAAACTGGTGTGGGATGTTCTGAAAATTCTGTCATATTGGGACTTGTTAAAACATAATGGGCAGATTGTATAGCTGCGCTTTATTGTCTGTTCAAGACTTTTCTCACCCAAACAATTCACTGTTTATGTGCAGAATAATGAAAAGCCCAGCCTGCAAGGCCCATTTGATTTAACACCAAAGAAATATGACAGCACATTTCCTCACACACAGACGTTTTCTCATAAATGATCACCGGATGCATGGATTACTAATGCAGCTTTATATCATCCTTGTATGAATGTAAGGCTGCTTTAGAAACCAATATTTTATTGCTGCTGCTTTTTACAGAAGTCTGGTTCACTGACCTGGAATCATGTGAATATTTTTAACTGGAGACGGGAAATGGAAAGCAACGAGTTTAATGTCAGATTAGATTTTGCATTTCCCATGTATGCACTCAGCAGTAGTCAACAGATAGTTGGATTTATACAACGCTCTGCGTGATAAGATGCCTGTTTGCATATTAATGCAAACAGTGTGGGAATGTTTGAATTCATTCAGAATGTATCCAGCGCAAGACTGTGGCAATCATCTTGAGGATCCAATTTTGGCTCATTAAGTGTCACAGAAGTGCTCTGACATAAATTAGTAGTGTATAGTATTAATCATCAATCTTCAGAGTCAAAAGTAGCATCTTAATATTTCTGTGCAGGAAATGTTCTTTTTGTAGCCAGATATTCCATATTGAGGTGGACCAAATGCAAAAGTTAAAGCAGTGGTCTTTGAAACACACTGCAATTGTGAATGCTGGCTTGACACAGTAGTTACATAAATTAATTTTAATTACATTTTTAAATGCACCAGTTTACAGTCTCTCGTCAGATTTCTTTAGCTGTTGCTAGGACACAATATGGTGCGAGTATGAGGCCTTGTACTGAGGCACGGCATGTTTTAGCATCTCTCCCTCTGCCCTGGCAACTGCTGTGGAAAATTTTAAATGTTCCATCTGTTTAAAAGAGAAATACAATCTGGGCAATTATAGAAGTTCATAACTATAAAATAGAGACATCATTAAAGACCGATTGTTTTGTTGCTGAAAAAGTACAAATCTAATGACTCATTTCTGCCAGATAAGGGCAGAAGGGACTATTTTATGCCCAGAACCTTTTGATTTTGCATTTAAGATGCCATTCGTTCTTTACAGGCTGCATCCCAGCTGGTCACAAAGGGTAAATAGTACCTGACTTTTGTTTCCAGAGTATTAGTGGAAGAGCATGAGCTAATTCTGGTGGATTCGATGAGGTTGCATCCATCTTCTGTCGCTCTAACATGACTGTTGTCTTCAAAAAGAGGTCCCAGAAGAGGTTGAAGGTCAACTCCCATTATATCTCTGCGAGTATGTGATCAATATCAGAGTTCAGCGGCACAATCGGCAAGAGAAGATCAAAGGAAAGGAGGTAGAGAAGCTCCTCCAAGCCCCAGTGAGCCGCAGCTCTGGAGCGTGGCGTCCATTTCAGATCGTGTTTCTTCTTTTGAAAGGATGGAGAGAATGAGTGGCATTCACTAGCAGTGGCTAATGGAGGGAAATCTGTGGAGAAGTGCATTTCCTCCTCTCGGTATTGAAACAGAACTTCCCGGTGACATAATCCAAAGCTAGATTTGGCTAACTTTCTAAGTAGCGCCTCTGTAGAGGGTCTCTGCCTCAGCAAAAAAGTCAAATGAAAATGTTGCATTAATCCACTTATCAGGAAAGAGCACGTTTGGATAATCCTGCCCGCTCAAAGTGCCTCCTGTTATGTGGGTGTGAGCGTTCGTGTGCGTGTGTGCGTGTGTGTGTGTGTGTGTGTGTGTGTGTGTGTGTGTGTGTGAGGTGTTAACAAGAGACAGTGACTGAGTGGAATGTCAGTGTCAAGCGTTTGATGTCTGTGTTTATGCAGGTATGTGCTGCTTTGTTTATTAGTTTGCTGGTTTATATGGAAGAGGACGTGCTGAGTTTTCACATGTTGCCCTGATGCACATTGAGGCTGCCGCGGCAGAGCTGTGCAGACTTCATTCATCTTTTCCCTCTACTTCTGCTTTAGAGGGAATTACAGTGGCGTGTGAGACTAGCAGCTCACTTTTAATCCATGAAATATGTATTACAGAGTTTCCTGACTACACCTACCCTCACCGCATTAGACTCCACTTACAGGGACTTAAGCTTGCAGAGAGCAGGTTTGGCTGTGCACATATCAGAGATGCACATATGTATGCTTGGGATGTTTGCACACTATAGACCTTTTGGTGTGGACCAGTGTCCATTTGTGATCCAAGTTTGTAATTGTCCCCGCCCCCACATAATAATAATAGTAGTAGTAATAATAATAATAATAATAATAAACAATTGTATTGTTAGTTATACTTGCATTGTTAATTTGATAACAATAACTCCAATAAAACAAATCAATAATATTATTATTATTATTATTATTATTATTAGGTAATTGTGGTGTTAAAAATGAAAAATATAACATAATTGTTTAATAATAATAATAATAATAATAGATAATTGTATTGTTAAAAATTATATAATAAAAATTGTTGTAATTGTAATAATAATAATTGTTTTAGTAATAATAATAATAATAATAATAATAATAAACAATTGTATTGTTAATGATAATTGTATTAATTAATTGTTAATTTAATAACTAGCTCAAATAAAACAAATCAATAATAACAATAACAACAACAACAATAATAATAAACTGTAGTTATTAATAAAATTACTAAAAACATTGTATAATGATGCTAATACAATAAATCATAACAGTAATAAAAACAATAACAATAATGGGACATTTATAAAAATACTAGATTATAATATTTATCGTATTACCGCTTTATTATTGTTATTACTATTATCGCTTTTTTATTATTATTATTATTATTATTATTATTATTATTATTAAGAACGAAGTCATTTTATCCACAATTTGTTGGCATTGGTCGCAGAGTATTTATTTTATTTTTTTATGTTTAATAAAACCACTTCTGAATATTCACGGTTGGTATGAATGTAAACTGTAGTGTATTTGTGCCTTTGTGTGCTCCCAGTCACGCACATTGTTATACCTGCTTGTCTCCAGATAATTTGCATTTGGAGTGCAGTTCACATTGCATTTCATGCAATACATCTGTGGCAGACAAACGCACATGCTTTTGTGTGTAAATTTTGGTTATAAATCCATACTTTCGAAAACATGAACAGTGAGTCTTCTCTTCCTGACTCATTATCTAATTACTCTCGGTGGTTATCGCGTTGATGATTCACACATGCCACTGTTTGAACCCAGATGTGAAAAGAGTCCAGCGGGGGAGGCAGTGGAATCCATCTCTGGTTTGGACAAAGCAGTCAAACCAAGTGTGAAAGCATCCTTGCTGTACATGCACCAGCTCAATCTTTCTGCATTTCCCCGAGACATTTCAGTGGACCTGTCTACGTTTTGATGGATGCTTCGCCATTAGCAACATTTCTGTCTTCGTCATTCTCTTCTTACTGGTTCTGTCTGGGCTTCTCTGAAACCCTCCATTGCTGTTGCCCTTCAGTCAGATCTTTCAATTCAGACATGACTCTAAAAGCCCATTTAATCTGTCATCTGCTTCCCAAATGGGCCTCTTCTTTCTCTCGCTCATTCATTTTCTCTTTCTTCATAAGCGCATTTGCTCTTCTGAATGAGCGGGAATCGTTGGCGCTTTGTGTTTCTTAAGAAGGGCATGTTGTCGTTCAACCAAGCTCATTACTCCTGCCCAATGGTGCAGAGCTGTCTGTGCCTTTCTAAGAGAGAACTGGAGAGTAGAAGAAGAGGGGATGAAAATGCAATCATTTTGTGTTTTATTTGCTGATGAAACACTAAACTCCTGGGGTAAGAAAATTAGTGTCAACAGGATTCCCCCACCTAATGAACTTCCATTATGTCCATTAGACTGAGTTACATTTTCATTTTGAGGCAAATGAATTGGAGGGATAAATGGAATTTACAACTTTACATACAACTTTAGGAATTAGTTCAAAGCATGGAACTTTATTTTGCCATGTAAAAATTGTCTTATTTCAGCATTTCATTTTGCTAGTCAGTTGCATGCTCTTTGTCCTGTTTTCATAAATCTACATTTGCATTATATCATATGGATCAGTACGGCAATACATTTGTCTAAATGTGAGCACCTTCCTTAAACTGTTAAAGAGTTTACCCAAAAATAAAATTTTGTCATTTACTCACACTCATGTCGTTCCAAACCTGTATACGTTTCTTTCTTATGTTGAACACAAAAGAAGATATCTTGGCGCCGATAGCCTTGTGGGCACTGCGCCGTTGCGCTTCGGGCGTCCCGAGTTCGAATCCTGGCTTGAGGACCCTTCCCCATCCCGCCCCCTCTCTCACTCCCACTTCGCTTCCTGTCTCATCTACACTGTCCTATAACAATAAATGCAAAAAACGGCAAAAAAAAAAGAAAAAAAAAAAGAAGAAGATATTTTGAAGAATTTAGAACCACCAAACAGTTGTTGGTCCCCATTGACCTCCATAGTAGGGGACCATCAACTGTTTGATTACCAGCATTTTTCAGAATATCTTCTTTTGTGTTCAACATAAAGAAACTCATACAGGTTTGGAACGACATGAGGGTGAGTAAATGAAGACTATTTTCAGATTTGGGTGAACTGTCCCTTTAAGCTGTAGATTTGACCAGTTTGCTAAAGCGTTGCAAGAGTAGTCTTGTGTCCATTTGGTGTGCTTGCCATCAATTCATTGTTGGACTAATCAACTTGAATTACATAAGGATTCCTCTCCTAGTTTACTAGGACACCGCTTTATTTTAAAGATACACACACTGAAATTGATTGGTCCTGAGCATATGGTTCACTCTCATCAGCCTCTGGACAGGTGGGAAGTGTCTTGGGGAAGGGAGTGCTTTGTTTGACACATGCCTCATTTCTGTGAGAAACTTTACACACGTGCACTAATGCATTATGTTCATCTGTTCTGTAACAGGATGTAATCAATCCACACGCTCCCAGAGGACCATGGGTGTGGCATTCGGTCAGGTGAAGTCTTCGTCCTTGGGTTGTTATTGATGCCATCCCGATTAATGACTGATCTTCCCCCCTGCGTGTCAAGACAGATGGGAGATCCGGCTTACTATTTCAGATTAGCTTCCAACCCTCTGTTTGCTCTGAACTGATTGAACGAAATTGGCCAGATCACAGCCTCCTATCTCAGAATATCTCAACGTGGCTTCTTATTTGCTCAGAGCTAACAAGAAGACACCGAATGCGATGCCTCCTCCGGGATTATCCGATGACCTCGGCGAGAGTTTGACACAAATGGAGTTGATTTCTTAACCTGGAGCAGTTTGGTGTGAAATAATCAGCTTTAGTTATCCTCTTCCCTTCTGCTTGCCTCCGTCGCCATCAAGCAAAATAGTTACTGGTCCCCGCCTCTTTCTTGCTTCGTGATAAACAGTTTCCATGTTTGGTTTGGCTTCCTCTGGGGAGATCTATGGTCTAGTCTGACATGATTCACACTGACTCAGGGTGACCTTGGAAAGTAGCCCACAGTCATGCTTGTACACACATGCACACACCAAACCCTTCGCTAGATGCCCTAACACAATTTGTCCACCCTGAAAGGCCTGTAATCCATTTTTTTCCTTTACAGCCAGCTTTTCGCTTGATTTGCAATCCTGTACAAAGATATCAAATTCAGAGTTTGATGTGTTGCTCTTTCTTGGCATAATTCTGTCATGTTTAATGCGACATCATAAAACAGGGTTACAGTGCAGTTCTCTGTGTCCTCACGTGTGGATTCAATGGTCAATTTATCTCCATAGCTGAGCCCCTGACAGGCTTATAGTGTGTCTGTGTACGTAGGCCTTGTTTCTTGGCCCTACATCAACTCTGCTGGAGATTGAACCATTTTGTTTGGTGTCTTTGCAGGTTAATGTCACGGTCGATTACATCAGAGCTGCCACCAGTGCCATGGAAACGGGTGGCATCCCGGCTTTCCCAGAGCGCACCTGTGCTACAGTGACCATTGGTGGAATGTAAGTAAACTAACCAGTTACCAAATCAGTTCTGCTTTTTGGCTCTTTCAAAACCTTCTCCTCCCACTGTCTGTGATAAAATGGTAAAAAACCAAACGAACAAAAAACACACTATAAATGGTTTCATGTATACTATTGTTCAAAAGTTTGGGGTCAGTAATTATTATATATATATAATTTTACATTTTTGTAAATTTTTTTTTTTTACATTTTTTAATTCTCACCATTTCTACATTTAATCAAAAATACAGTAAAACAGTAATATTGTGAGTTTACAATTTAAAATAACTTTTTTCTTTTTAATATCTTGATATATTTTAATATATCTTGTATCTATATCTGTAATTTATTTCTGTGATGGCAAAGCTGAATTTTCAGCAGCCATCACTCCACTCTTCAGTGTCGTATGATCCTTCAGAAATCATTCTAATATGCTGATTTGGTGCTCAAGAAACATTTATTATTACTGTCAATATCTGCTACTGCTATATGTTTTTTTGGAAACCATGATATGCTTTTTTTCAGGATTCTTTGATGAATAGAAAGTTCAAAAGACCAACATTTATTTGAAATAGAAATTGTTTGTAACATTATAAATGTCTTTACTGTCACTTTTGATCAATTTAATGTCATTCCTGAATAAAAGTATACATGTTTCTTTATTTTTTTGCTGACTTTAAACTATTAGACCGTAATGTAACTCGTGCAATGGATTTCAAGTCATATGCTGATAATTGTGAGAACAAAATCTTCCCCTCTATTGATCCTTGTTCCACTGCTTCTGGATAGTCATTGAGTTAACTTTAAACAATAAATTGATCAAATCCACTCGTTAATCATTCCGATTTTGAATAATGATTTTAAATTTGGGTCTATTCTTTACACAGTAGCAGTTGCTCTTCAAATGTAGGTTGTCTCAGTTGACAACCAACAGCAAAAGACACTTGTTACTGAGAAAGAAATGGAACCATAAATAAAATCTGAATGTTTCTAGACTCTCTCTAACAATCTTCTCGCTCTCAGAATTGGGACTGCCGTATGCTTTATTACCCTTTATGACTCCTCTGTGAATTCAAATGATTCTTGTTCACCCTTGTGATGTGAATGTGTGATCTAGCACACTGTCCCTTGTTAGGGTAAGTGAGGACAGGCACATGAGTCTGGGGTGGTATTGCGCCTTAGGCTGTGATTACCCAACCATGCCCCAGTGCTTGGCGTTAGAGCATTGTGGGTAACAGGTGGTCACATCGCCTGAGGGCTCAGCTGCTTTGCCACATCTTGACTCTTCGCTGATTTGGAATCAGTTCTTTCCAGGATTTCCCATAGTGCCATAAATATTTTAAGAGCCTGAACTGATCGTAGATCCGTAAAAATTCATGGCAGCACAGACAGTCTGTCAGGCTGATGCAATAGGTTACTTTTCAGTAAACATTTGATTTTTGGAAGCATGGTGAAGTAGGACTGACGTAGGAAGTATAGTTATCAACGCTTGCAATTTCTGTGTATTGTTTTGTCAGTGTACAGGTTTTTTGGTTTGATTGCTTAACCTCAACAGTCCCCGCCTTTTCATATTGTATTTTGTGCCTCTGAACTGTGGTATGTTTGTGTATTTAAAGAGAGGATCACATTGAGTACTTGCAGAAACTGTTTACCACTCTTCCTACGAAACCAGCATTGGCACCAAAAATAAAAAGCGCTCTTTGCTTTTAATCATGTTTTTGCCCTTTTGGTTTTATTAGCAAAACTTGACACAGAATGCCTCTTGCTCTTGTTTGCTGTGCTCTGCAATAGGGGAATGCGAGCTGCTTGCTGAAGGCAATATCTGTGTTGAAAAATGGCAATGAGAAATGCGTTTGCCACTTTGCTTGCAGGGCAGCAGTCTTGCTGCTTGTGATCAATTATGTTTCAGTTCTGCAAATTAGGCCTTAGTCAATCTCACTCAACGCTCTCCTTCAAACAACGTGCAAACTGAAGTCTATAGACTATCCCGAAATAGTTACATAAATTGATTGATTTAAAATAATCGCACAGATTTCTGTAATCAATCAGACCTAACATGATTATTTGTAAGCATGTATTTTCACATGGAATCTCCAAATTTAATGTGGAAATAGCAAAGACAGTATTTTAAACATTTGTTTAATAGCTCCTTTTCCCTAACACAGTAAAGAAAGCCAGTATTACCGATACCAGGTCCAATACTGATATGGATGGCTATATTTAATGGATGATAATTCTGTTAATTATTTAATGCATTAAACAGCAAATAATAATTGCATAAATAAACACATTATTTAACTCTGCACCATGTACAGTCATGGCCCAAAATATCGGCACCCTTGGTAAATATGATCAAAGAAGGCTGTGGAAATTAATTTGCATTGTTAATCCTTTTGATCTTTTATTTAAAAAATTCACAAAAATCTAACCTTTCATTGGATAATAAGAATTTAAAATGAGGGGGGAAATTTCATTATGAAATAAATGTTTTTCTCTAATACACATTGGCCACAATTAACAGCACCCTTTTATTCTTGTGCCCAGTGACCCATTTTTGTGTTGTTTTTGAGGTTTGTGTTTGGATTATTGTACGGTTGGAAGATCCAAACATGGTCCATTATAAGATTTCTAACAGAGTCAGTCACTTAATGATTTTCTATCTGTTGGTATTTGATAGAATAGTGCATTAGGACAATATAGACACACGTCCTCTTCCAGGCAGTTTCGTAACATTTTCTGTTGATTGCAAATTCTTAATTATTGCCCTGAAGGTGGAAATGGGAATTTTCACTGCTCTAGCGCTTTTCTTAAAGCTACTTCACTAATTTGTGAAGCTCAATTATCTTTTGCTGCACATCAGAAATATATTCTTTGGTTTTTCTCATTGTGATGGATGATTAAGGGAATTTGAGCTTTGTTTTCCCTCCTATTTATATTTGTGAAACAGGAAGCCATGGCTGGATAATTTCATGTTCGTAATCACCCTGGAGTGCTCAAAATTGTGAATATGAATGGGAATATACTTCAGAGATATTTTACTCATAAGAATTTCTAGGGGTGCCAATAATTGTGTCCAACGTGTATTTGAGAAAAACATTTATTTCATAATATTTCCCCCCATTTTAAATTCTTATTATCCAATGAAAGGTTAGATTTTTGTGAATTTTTTAAATAAAAGATCAAAAGGATTAACAATGCAGATTAATTTTCACAGCCTTTGATCATATTTACCAAGGGTGCCGATATTTTTGGCCATGACTGTATGTGTGTGTGTTTAAATAAAACGATAGTGTGTTTTATATATCTAAAATGTGTAAAGTGTTGCAAGGCAACTTGGAACAAACATCTGATTCTCTGTTGTAATCTCTTTGTAGAAACATTGCTGAGGCTCTGGTCAGTAAAGGTCTCGCAACAGTGATCAGATACCGTCAGGACGACGATCAAAGATCTTCTCATTACGACGAGCTGTTGGCAGCTGAGGCAAGGTGAGTCAAAACACTAAAATAAAACTGCCGGCTAGCGAATGTGGGCCGTATTTCCACACATTGAGTAGGAGAAGCCGTCTGTGAAATGGAGCCATTTTGTTCTGTGCAGTAAGTCATGGCTTGTCTGGTTAGCTCTCATTTCATGGGGGCAATATCAGTCCCAGAGCTTATACCTCAAGCACCAGCACTAAAGCATTGCTCTTTTATTCTTTGTCTACGAATATAATTATATAGATTTGTGGTGCAGAGGTTTCAAGGGTGGTTTATTGCACAGAAAGAGATTTGGATCTCGTGGTCGGCGATAGATGGGGCGACTCTCTCGAGAAAGAGACTTGCTGCTGCTTATCTACTGCTCTTTCTTTTCCATTTCTATTCTTCACTCTTGGTGTTGCTCTCGAAAGCGCACATGCATTCACACACATCTCCTATATTTTCTTGTCCTTTGCTCTCTGGGTAATGCTTCCCCGTGGAGCCTGTGGAGATGGGAGGTTTGCGGGCCTCAAATTTATTTTTAGCAGAGATTGCTGGTCGTTACCCTACATCCTCTGAGAAATCAACCTCAGGACGAGCTCTCTCTCCCTTCCTCTATTTTTTTCCGAATTTGATTGGACACCAGGGAGGCTACAGCCACAGATACATCTGCCTTAAAGAGGCCAAAGACACATCCCTCATTCCTCCTGTATCTACTGTAATGTGCAGGCATCACCACTCAGCAACCACTATTACACTGATCAAGCAGTCGACACACACAAAAGACACTATACATTCCCATGTGTAATGCATGAGAGCTGCTGGCCTATAAATGTGATTTGTTGGCTCTTTTGTGGCATGTGATGAATGAATGGGTGGGTTTGTTTAAGGGTTGGTTTCTCAGGCTGGGGCAGAAATGGTTTTATGTTCTGGGGGCCCGTTCTAAATATTTAGATTTTAACACAGTGCTTGAATCATTGCAGGGCGATCAAGAATGGTAAAGGACTTCACAGCAAGAAAGAAGTGCCCATTCACAGGGTGGCAGACATTTCAGGGGTAAGCTTTTGATTTTATTTGCTTCAGTTGCTATTTGAGTCTGATTCATAGGGATGTATTTCTATGGGATGAAATTAGACTCAAAATGATTAATAGATGCACACACAATTATTTATGTACTGCATAAATTTTATACATGTATCTTACTAACCACAAACAAATGCCTTTCAATTTGAGTCTGTGGAATTCAGGATTAAATGATTGTGCAGCGATTTTTACAAATACAGACATGTTTGCGAATAAAAATGTTCTGTTCTACATTAATATATAATAAATTGCTCCGTGCATAAAAAGGAATCCATGCATAAGTGGATCAGGTGACACGCGTGCATTAATTGACGTCTAGTTCGAGTCGATCTTGTTCGGTTCATTTGGATTTTGAGACTTCATTTTCGCAGTTTACAGCATTTTACATCCCCCCGACACACAACTACCAACGGACAAGGCCCAGTGCAATTCATTAACGTGTACACGATTTGAAAAATTCGCAAATGTACGTCACTACACTGAAGCAAATGCTTTTCAACCGGTGTCTGCTGAGTTAAGAATTACATTAATGTGCAGCATTTTGTTCAAATAGAGACATAGTTGTGAATACAAATGTTATTGTTTGTATTAAAGTATCATAATTTGTGCATGTTAAATGTTACATTGTTTTCTTTGTTTCTTTTTGGTTTGGCTATTCTCCTCTGCCCATAGAAATATAATAAATATGTTTTATTGAACTTGTTCTAATTTAACTTATCTTAAGACACAGAATAGCTTATATTAATTTTGCCAAGCAAGAACTTCGTGACGGTAACTTTTTTTTTTCTTTTCTTTATGTAATTCAATGGCACGTTGTCAATTATTCCTTCCTTGTATTATTATTATTATTATTATTAAAAGGGATATTAAATTCGCTAATTTAAGCCATTAGTAATCGCACGTTTATATTTAATTAAACTATTAAATTAACTTAAACTAAACTATACTAAACGAGCGTTTTATAGGCTATAGGCTAGCCTATTACACGCTCAAGCGGATCGCATAAATAGCTAGAACATATTTTATATAAGATACTTATTACTAAACTGTTTTCTGAGTCAGTGTCGGCTGCAAAGATGAAGTTGACGATGCTGATGAACGACTTTATTCTCGAAATGTAATTATATTTATTCTCAATATTTTATTTCTACATTTTTCTGGATATTTAATGAGTTTAATCTCGCATTATAGGCTAATGACTTTATTCTGGAGATGATTTATTTTATTTTTTTTTATTGTTTGGCCCTATAATCCTCTTTCTTACTCTCTCATTTGGCACGAATCCAAATGTTTCCATATTCACAATGTTGGCTATTTGAATTTGAATGCTACAGACTATTATTTATTAGGCCTATGTAAACCAGGCTTTGCAGCCTACTTAACCCGCTTTCCAAAAAAAAAAAAATGCTGTAAACTGCATTCTCAAAATCCAAATGAACCGAACAAGATCGACTCAAACTAGACGTCAATTAATGCACGCGTGTCACCTGATCCACATATGCATGGATTCCTTTTTGCATGAGCAATTTATGATATATTAATGCAGAACAGAACATTTTTTATTTTTTATTTTCGCCAAACATGTCTGTATTATCGCTGCACAATCATTTAATCCTGAATTTCCACAGATTCAAATGGAAAGGCATTTGTTTGTGGTTAGTAAGATACATGTATAAAATTTATGCAGTACATGGATAATTGTGCGTGCATCTATTAATAATTTTGAGTCTAATATCATCCCATATATTTCAGTCATTACGTCTATTTTGTTTACTTAGGAAAGATATTCTCTCTGCTAAAGCTGTACATTATACATGGTGGGTTTTTTAGACTAATTTGATTTTCTTTAGTTTAAATATTTGGCTGCTTTTGTTTTCAGCTGCGAATAAGAGTGCATTTAATAAAGTTCCATTTAATAAATTTGACTTCAAAATCAAGAATCAAACTCAAATATCAGTGTGAAAATGCAAAAAAGAATTTGTCTGGGCCTGAGCATGACCTATGACAGTATGTTCTTCCAATGCCTTTACCAATGTCTTCTATATCCCAGATTCCTCTCTCAAATCTTTGATGTTAAAGCTTCGTCATATGACAGCTGATTTATTGCTGCATTACGGCCCTGACCATTAAAGTAATGAACGCCTCTCTAAAAATAGTCTTTATACCCATAAAGTCATCATGCTCGTAGCTCTAAAGTTGTTTTTAGGCGAATCTGTTTGGGTGCCTTACCAAATGAAGATTAAATTTTACTTGGCTTGTAAATGTCATTTGCTGGGTGACAGGCTTGTTACTTGGTGTGTGAAGCAACTGACGTTTAATAGCCGCTGACTTCCTGTTCACCTCTCCTCAACTCTCTCCTTCCTCTCTGTCTCATCTCTGCGTTTATGAATGAGCTCCTCAGGTTTTAATGAAGTATATGGCAGCTGTCTGCGAACTTTTTCAGGATGTTATTTATACCCGAGTTTGTGTGGGAGGCATTTAGAGTGAGAGAAAAGAGTGTGTCACTCTCAAACGGTAACATTCTCATTTCTCATCCAGAAACAAGATTCCCTCGTTATATGACTGACAGTCAGAGTAATGTCATTTGGATTGGGACTATGTCGTTGGTCTGAAAGGACCATTTATCTTTGGATGTGTTTGTTTTCTTTTCTCTTACTTTCTCTTTTGGTGTCTTGTTCTTCGTGTGGGTCATGGCTGTATTTCCAGCTGCGGTGGGCGGCCCTGGTGTGCTGAGTCACAGGAAGCAGCAATATTTAAAGTGAAATCTGAAGTGTCTCTGTTACACACCCGTCAAACAGAAAGATGGCCAATCTCACTTCTAAAAGTACACCCTTGGTCAGGACACTCTTGAAATAGAGCTGCCCTACTCCCATAATGGCTCACAGTGTCAAACTGTTATCTTCCACTTGGCCTGTTGTTTTCTAGTCCACATTTGAATTACAAATCAAAAGTATGTAAACTAATGTAAGTAAACCAGCCAAGGTAGCCAGTGAAGGCGCATTTGCAAAATTTTGTTCAAAAATTTGATGCAATCAGTAAATAAAATAAGGGTGCTGTTTTAGTGCAATTATATTAATATGTTGCATTAATGAATGCATTTTTATTGCATAACTATTTTTGTATTGCAAAAATTATGCATTTAATCATGCTATCAATACATATTTAAATTCTATAAAAATGTTCTTTAAAATGACCCAGACATATAGTGATTGTCATGACAACTGCAACGTTTAATGTGGCATTTTGTTTGTACAAAATCAAGTAACATCTATCTAAGCAAGTATAATAACTAGTGAAGTATAATAGCTAAGTCTAAAAAAGAAAGTAAATAAAAACACATGCATTTAATTTTATACTTTTTATAACAAGCATACAAATTAATAAGTATAAAATAAATGCATAGAACAAGTAAAAAATGCAAAGAACAATTAAAGATGAAAAAATTATAACCAAAAAAAGACGTAAATATAAAAATAAATATTTATAACAAATAAATACCAAGTTCTGTCATGAAACTCTAAATGGCACAGGGTGATGGGTCGTTAACGCATATTCACAGCATTAAACTACTTGGCACAAGCTGAATGCTTTACATTCAGATGGCTGGTTGGCATTCACTAGAGCATTTCGCAGCGTGCTTTCAAAGTTCCTCTGAAATCCTCCACCTTCCCCAGCTCCACCTGTATAAATCTGCTATGTGTTTTTATATATGCTATTTTTACAGTGGCAGTATGTCTTAAAAACTCACAGCACCGTATCGGTGTATCTATTGGCAGTAGCAAGTTCCTGTACTTGCTTTGCAGCAGCAGTGTAGCAGATCTAGTATTCCGCCAAGACTAAATACATGAACATTGTCATATCCTTTATAGTGGTCGACCGATATTGTTTTTTTGACAGCCAATGCCGATATCTTGGAAAGCAGGTTGGCCGATATAAAGCCAATATAATTGTAGTAATTTAATTAACATTTGTGACCCTGGACCACAAAACTCTTGTGTCTTAAAGGGATAGTTCACCCAAAAATGAAAATTTGATGTTTATCTGCTTTTCATTTTTGGCCCCCAGGGGGGCGCCAGCACCTGTCAAGGGGGGCACGAGCATCAGTTAATTCAGAGACGTTCTTTTGAGAATTTATGAATATGAGTTAACAAATCTTTAGCCATCCACTAGGGGGCAATCTGACTCCCACTGCTAGTCGACAGTTAGAGCAGAGTTGGCTCGAGTATCAGTCACGCTTATTGACAGTGTAAGATGATTTACGATTAGCCGTGTCAGAAATCCAACCACAGATTGGCATGTTGTTATCAGATAGCCTTCTCAGACAGCAGGTGAATACCAATGGCTGTCTTGACAAGTATCCTTGTAAGCACAGTCGGTTGTTTTAAGTGAATGTAAACAGTAAAGAAAATATCAAATGTACATCAGTATAACGGATCCGTGCATTTCTTATGTAAATAACGTTAATCAAAAAGAGCAAAAGAAAAATGGTTCGCTGCTTTAATAGCTTTAATGGATACTTGCTTTTATGTTAGTTAATAAAGTAATTCGGTGTGACTACAGTAATACGGGGGATGGGGGGTTGTACAAATAAATAAATATTTAATAAAAATATAATTAAAAAGGAAGTAAACACTGTAACCAACAGAGCACTCAGTATTCTGGGAAGTTTGTGTGCGTTCTGAATCCTATTTTTTCAAATAAAGCTAAGGTAACATTCATTTTACATACAGCACACAGTGAAAATGACATGAATATGGGCAAATGTATAAAGCACAGCATAGTTTGAAATCACGAATTTATTGTTTAAAGCAGTGGTCGCCAACCCGTCTATCGCGATCGACTGGTAGATCTTTATCACTTGTCCCAGTAGATCCCGAAAATAACAGTAAAATAAGTACAAAAATGCATTACATTTCTGGGGCT